GAGGCTCTTCCCCCTGGGAAGAGGACCATGAGAACCGGAAGGAGGGTGATAGAAGAGGCAGAAAAAAGGACAGGTGGCAGAGCTAGAATGCTCAGGAACTGGGAAGCCCTCAAAGAAGACTGTGAGACTTTAACCTGGGCGACTGCAGGGACACGGATGCTGTTCACAGGCCGGGTTTGTCGAGAGGAACACCGTGTTTTGGGGGTGGGTGGGGAAGGATGAATCATATTTTGAACAAGCCGGCAATGCATAGGAGACCACTAGAAAAGTGGGTCTGGAGATACATTCAGTGGTGGAGCTAGAGAAGTAGACTTGACCTTTCTTCACCTGTGGGTACTGTTAGGTCGCGGCAGGAATGAGCATATCGGTATGACAGTGCAGAGAAGGAAGCCAGGAAAGAGCTGGGAGCCAGACTGAGAGACTGATGCCAGAAGCACTAGAAGAAAACTGGTAAGGTGCAGGATTCCCCCTCGCCCCCACTGTCACCAAACCTGGGGGACAAATCTTACCAAGAAGAGGAAAGAGACTGATGGAGAGAAAATGTCAAGAAAACTGCCTTTATTGGATTAATTTTGTTAGTCTCAAAATAAAGTTCTGTAAAGAGAAAACAGGCTTTTTGTCCTTTCTATGTTTCAGGAGAATATTTGGTGTTTCTCCTTCTCTCCTTCCTTCTTTTTTTCCTCTTTCCTTCCTTCTTTCCTTTGCTCTCTTCCCTTTCCTTCCCTCTCCTCCCTTCCTTGCACATTCTTGTTTATCTGGATTGACCTTGAGCATGGGCGGCCACTGTCACCTACAACGAGTAACTGCCTTTCTGTTCAATATTTGTCTGTAGTGCGGATTGAGGAGGGAGGTAGGTCTTCTGTGCTCTACCATCGCAATACCTTAGGTCTTTCAAAGCAGGAAATTATATGTATATTTGCAATATGACATCACTAACATTTTTGTAACTTTTAAAATATAGCTTTTTGCTTGTTTCTTTGTACTGGTCTCAAGAGCCACTCATAAATCTCTCTGGAACTGCGTAGGGTCCCAGGGCCAGAGACTGGCCCCTGCTGGCACTGTGATTAGTCATTTAATACCCAAGGCAATGACTAATGCCTGGCAACCAAATCTCCATTAGGAGTCATGTGTCCTGGGACCCCGGGCAAAGGCACACTGGGCACACCTTCTTGTTGGGTCTTCGTCCCAGGGTCAAGAGACAAGTTGAGGATCGGCTAGATCCATGTGGGCACCACCAGGGAAGGCGAGATTCCCCTCCCCATGATCAATGCCAGTGCAATCACAAAGCCTACAATCAGTGTGAGACAAAGGTGCCCACCTTTGTCTTATCATCAGACCCCAGCTTTTAATATATCTTTTTCCTATGTTTACAGAAAGCCATCAACTGAGCTATTCGTGGAAAGGTTTGCGGGTTTGGTTAACGAGGTGGAGGAGTGTTACATTTCAGCTGGAAACACATCCCTAGATTGCCAAAACGTTTATTCCAAAGTCTGGTTTCCTGGTGCCATCGGAGGCATGGCAATGGCGTGTCTGTTCAGAGACTCGGGGGCTGGGGCCAGCAAGGCACTTGATCCAAGTGTACCCCCAAGGCCTTTATCGTTAAATTATATCCCTTATGAAAAACCGCCCGTGTCACATTTTGTAAACTTGATATCCATACACTTTTGACGGGCATTCTATTTTAGCCGTAAGTCTATGATTTACAGCAAGCCTGTTTTCTCTCTCGCTGAGGATGGCAGTGGAAACCTGGGTCACTTTCCAGGCTCCGAGGATAAGGAGCAAAGGGGGCTGGAGTGTTGCTTCCCCCCAAGAATGCTGAGCCGGGCTGTGCCACCCCCTGCTCTCCGTGAGCAGACAGCAGGCTTCTCCCCAGTCCTCCCTGCCATTCATCCAGCCAGCTCTGTGCAGCAGCCCCGCTCCTGTGTCTGCCGGGAGGGGCTGCCAAGTGCCCTGCCTACTGGCTGCTTCCCGAATCCCTGCCATTCCACACACAAACACATCCACACACGCTCTGCCTCGCTCACACACGGAGCCACACGCACACGCGGGCACATTCCTCCCTCCACGCTCACTGTCCTCAGCTCTTGACTTCTACGAGCCCATGGAATCTTTGTGGGAAGACGCTCTTGATCCAGCAGGGTAGGATTGTTTTGATTTCTCTCTTCGCAGCTTTAGCATTTTGAGAAAGCAACTTACCTTTCTGGCCAGCGGCTGTGTCCTAGCAGGGAGACGTGGGTTTGCTGTTTGCCGCGGGGTTTGTGTGTGCGTCTCCTTTTGCTTCCAGGACTTGGAGGATTCTTTGTGTGATGTCTATAGAATTTGGCAGGTTCGGGTTTGTAAAGAGCCCTCCGAAGCGCTTTTACACGGGTTTAAAAAAGACATTTGAAAATTGAAAGTGTGATTTACGGAAACGAGATCATCTGTGAAGAAAAAATTGCTTTGGAAAGTAATGGTTGCTGGCCATAAAGAGAAATATCTGTGATTCACCTAATGTGGTTTTAACCCTTTCTTTGCTTACAATCTATAGTTATTGATGCCAAGTTCAATTTTGGCTTCATATTAAATTAGCTATTTCTGCATATTGTCTTCACATGACCTGTCTGTTCTTATAAGAATTATGTAAAATGTGCACTTATTAGTATACATATATCCAAAAATATTACTATTAGTAACAGCAACCTTAACATTCATAAGATATGCCACGAATATTTTGTTAGGTACTATGTTGAGTGTTTGGGATGGCAATTAAAGCAAAGTATTAATAGTTGTATCAGTCTATTAGGCTAGGGCAAAAGTATAAACTATCCAAGTTTATAAAAGTATAAACTATCCAAGTTTATAAAAGTATAAACTATCCAAGTTTATAAAAGTATAAACTATCCAAGTTTATAAAAGTATAAACTATCCAAGATTATGGGTGCACAATATCATATATATATATATATATATATTGTGTGTGTGCTTAGCTTTTAATTCAGTTCAAAACTTTTCACTACTTTTTTTTTCCTTCTGGGTATTTGATTCTGCATGTCCTAGCCCATGTGAGCTGAGAAGGTCCAATTGTAGGATTAAAGAGCAGAAATGTATCCTTGTATTTTAAAATTTGTCAGTTAGACCAACAGTGTGACATAATTGCCAAAGATGTAGCGAATGACCTGAGGTTACCTTTCGTACAAAAAGGTCACATTTCACCTTCAGTTTTCTGAAGTTTTACTTGCATAACCCGTGGAAGGCACCAACACTCAAATGGGCCTATCCAGAGGGGTTTGTACATCTTCCTACACATGAGAATTCCTAATGGGAGCAAATACAAGACTGTGGTCCAACCCAAACTTACAAGTCCGGCTGGGAGAATCACAGAAAGTTGTGGCTGGAAGGGGCCACTTGGGGAGAATTTTTCATGAGGAAACTGAGGTTCCTCAGCATTCTCCTGAGGGAGAGATACAGCTCTTTCCATAGGAACACCTTGAATCTC